AGAAGCATCAACATCCATTGGGAGAGGAATTTGGGAAATGATTTGGGTGATTTGATGTGGAAGCATGGAAGATAATTTTTGTAAATTCCACATACCAGGATAGGTGATAAAGTCGGCCACTTTCACTGTAAATTCGGGCAGTGGATCGGCCAACGGAAGTAGGCGAATAGGTCCAGTAGATAACCAATTATCTTCGAGAGCATTAATTTGTTTACCATCACCTACCCGCCAACGAAAGCCTGAATGGAGAAATTGAAATGCTTTACATATGCCCCGCCACAAGGGTGAAGCTGAGCTAGATGGAGTAGCCACTGTCACTTTCCCATATTTCTCCAAAAGTACTTGTGTCCATAGTTTGTGTGATTGAGTGAATAAGGACCATACGAGCTTACCCAATAATGCGATATTATTGAGTCGAGCTTTACGAATCGCCAAGCCTCCTGACTTCTTCGGTAGAGTAACTGTGTCCCAACGGACTAGTGGCATCCCTCTCCTTTCATCAGACGAACCCCATAGAAAATCTCGGCTGAGTTGGTCCAATCTATTACAAATGGAAGATGGTAACCATGCGGTTTGCATAACGTGCACTGGTGAAGCTGTCATAGTTGAGTTGACCAAAGTTTCCCTCCCTGCATAGCTCAACAATTTGGTTTTCCATCCTGCCAGTCTAGCCTGCACTTTCTCCAATAAGAAAAAATACGTTGACTTCATTACTCTTCCATGAATGATGGGAACACCAAGATATCTCCCCAAATCTGACATAACTGGAATCCCCAATGTAGCTGAAAGATTCTGTTTAAGTTGTGGGGCCACAGCCTTGGAGAAGAACAATGCTGATTTGTGCAAATTGATTTTTTGTCCTGATGATGAGCAGAAGGAATCAAGTGTACCTGCTAGCACAGAAGCTTGTCTAGGAGTAGCTTTGGCAAATAGGAAGAGGTCATCAGCAAATATGAGGTGGGATATCAAAGGACCAGACCTGCTGACCTTGACGGCTTTCCATTTGCCTTCTTCTACTTTAGAGTGTATCATCAAAGAGAGTCTTTCCATGCATAGTGTAAAGAGATACGGGGACAGTGGATCACCTTGGCGGAGCCCCCTTGTTGGAGAGAAGAAAGGTGACGGTTCCCCATTAATCAGGATGGAAGTTTGGGTGTTCCTGAGATAAAACATGATAAGACTCACCCAAGAAGTAGGGAATGCAAAAAACTTCAATGTCTCTTCCAAGAAATCCCAATCAATTCGATCATAAGCTTTCTCAAGGTCAACCTTAACTGCCATTGCAAGATTCCTTCCTGTCCTTTTCTTCATCGAATGGATCACTTCTTGTGCCACCGTGATGTTATCCTGAGTTGAACGCCCTGGGAGAAAACTGCTCTGGCATGGGCCAATAAGATGGTCTAGGAAAGGTCGCAGCCGATTCACTAGAACTTTGGACATTATTTTCAACAATACATTACATAGAGAAATAGGGCGAAAATGTGTTACCATCTCCGGATTGTCAACTTTGGGGATTAGAACCAAGAAAGCTTGTGCTGCAATCGGGTCGAACGAGCTTGAAAGGAATGCTTTCTGGATGAAATCTGTGGTTGGGCCTTTCAGATGATGCCAATATTGTTTGTAGAATAAGGGTGAATAGCCATCAGGCCCCGGAGCTGATGATGATTTCATAGAAGAGACCGATGTCCAAATCTCACTTTCTAAGATTGGGGCTCTTAATTTGTCTTGCATTTCTTCAGTGAGCACTGGATGGGGCACCAGCTGCATTTGAGGACGAATACCTGGAGCAGCTGAGAAAAGTTGTTTGAAGAATGCCAGTACTTCCTCCGTCACTGCCTCAGGAGTTTCTCGCCACACCCCGTCTGCTCCCTTCAGACTTTCAATCTTATTGCGTTTGCGTCGAATCTTTGTCGAGACATGGAAGAATTTGGTACACCGATCTCCTTCTCGAATCCATTGAACTCGAGATTTAGAATGCCAGAATACTTCTTCTTGAGAAAGTAGTGCAGCATACTCTTCGCTTAGGGATGATTGCAATCGCCAAGCCATTTCTGTCGGGTGATTAGCTAGTTCGAGTTCGATCCCCTTCAATCTGGCAAGTAGATGACGTTTCCTGCGAAAAATGTTACCAAATGTCTCCCTATTCCATTCAAGAGAAAAATGTTGGATGTCAGATAGCATTGAAAGAATATCACCACTAGCTGGTTCTGTGGCTGAACTCACGACTGAATCGTACTCTGGATGCAAAATCCACATAGGCTCAAATCTGAAAGGTTTACTCCTAGGAGCTGGAATTGTGCCTTGAGATTTGAGTAAAAGGGGACAATGATCGGATTTTAACCGTGGGAGATGAGAAATTGATGCTTCGGGGAATATGAGACGCCATTCAGAGTTGCATAATCCACGATCAAGGCGTTTCTGGAGAATCTGGAAACGAGATTCACGGCGCAACCATGTGTATTTAGGGCCGGAATAGCCCAAATCAACTAGTCCGCAGTTATTGATGTCTCTTGAAAGAGGAAATGGCCCCCTGGGAGCGTTCGGGGAACCTCCAAGTCTTTCCGTTGGCGATGCTGTTTCGTTGAAATCGCCCATGAGAAGCCATGGGAGATCTAAATCGTCGGAGAAGGAAGCTAGTTCTGTCCAGAGTTGTCGTCTCTCCGGGGGTAGCGGACTAGCATAGACTGCTGTGAATACCCAGGGCGGCACTCCCGGCGCTTCGACGAGCAAGTGAACAGCGAACCGGTGGACTGAAAGAGGAGAAATCGTGATATTTTGTTCATCCCACAACACCCAAATACCTCCCGATCTCCCACTCGCTTCTGAGATGCAAGATTTTGTGAAGGGGAATTGTTGGATTACTTTGGTGGCATTGTCTCCGCTCAATTGTGGTTCGAGGAGCACCAAACAGTGGAGACGATGTTGAAGCTTCAATTCTTTGACCAAATTCCTTGCTTTCTTGCTACCTGCTCCTCTAATATTCCATACACATATATTTAACTCCATAATTATTGAATTAAAACAATCCAGTCCCTAAAGCTGCGTCAAGGCAACTTCGCTTAGGCTTTGGTGTTGTAGCCTCGACGAGGGCTACGACTTCGGTCTCGCACCTGGGACTCTCCTGCTGGCCTAGAAGCGGATACTGAAGTTTCCGAGTGGGCTTGATTTGACAAAGCCCAACTCCCGGACTCTTCGGCAGGTACTCGAATTTCCATTTCGTCGGCCTGCTGAGTTGGCTCAATTTCACTAGGAATGGTCGTAGAAGTCTGTAGGATCTCACTTGGAGAGGCGATCCCCATTGAATGCGGCATTGATGAAACTGCGACAGGGCTGACAATTGAGGGTGGATTCGACTTATCTCGTGGGGAATGGGTGTCCATATTACACGTACTTAATGCACCGCCAACAGCCTGGCTGCCGGGAAGAACAGAGACGTGGGCCTCTTTCGCCGGAGGGGCAAGGGGTTTCTCCGGTTGCGGCGAATTCTTTGATACTGATGCCCCCACCTTGTCTGAGTTCATCGGTGACTGAGGAGACGTGTGCTGCTTATCGGACTTCTCGTTCAGGTTCATCACTATGGATGGACGAGGAGGTGGATTTCCGGTTGACTTTTTCTTCTCAGATAAAATCATGGAGGTACGTGTAGATTGCTGGATACGGGATTGCGCAGCAAGTGGTGAAAAAGGGTTTGAATCACTTTCCGTCCTCTGGCCTTGAGTTCCCTGTTGACGACCGCCACGATTGTTTCCTTTGTCCGTTGATTTCTCCGCTCGGGTGGGCCGCGGTCTGCGCTTGGTCGCCACCATCCATTCCCCAAAGAAAGAGGTCGAAGCTGCCGCTGGAGAGGTGTGATGGCTTGAGTTGCCTGCCACCTCTGCCGGCGGAGAGGGGATTTGCGGTAGTGTTTGTGAACCAGTGTTCATGGCATCCATGGGTAGCTTCAAGAAGTTGCAGTTGACGGCCGTATGTCCAGCTCGACCACATTCGGAACATATCAAAGGAAGTCCTTCGTATACAACTCGTCTCCAGGCATTCGCTACCCAAACTTTTGGAACGAGAGGCTCTTCAAGGTTGACTTCCACGCAAATTCTCGCAAAACGACCTGTAATAGCCAATGCTGTTTGACGATCGATGCGCACTGGCTTACCTACGCAGCATGTGAGTGTATACAGTATTTCATCTCTATAGAATTCCATTGGAAATTGAGCAAAACGAACCCATGTTAGCAGAGTGGTAACACGAGCTGAGAATGGATCGAAGCCAGGCTCCCACATCTGAATGGCCAGGAAGTTGCCGCCTACGACATAAGGACCTCCCGCCAGGACTCTCGTCAGATCTTCAGGATCATCAAATTTCACAGCGGAGTACCCATTACCCAATGCTATGATCTCCATGCCACCCACCGGTCTCCACATACTATGTAGTCGGTTGACCAACAAGTAGTGGCTAGTCGAACCTCCATATGGCTTCACAATAATAGCATTCTTCCACTCCAGGCAACCATCTGTCTGAAGTTTTTCAGAAACTTGCAGCATTGGTCGAAGTTTATCACCATCCTCAAAAACGATGTGGACTTGCTCTAATACAGATTTATCCAACTGGAACTCGGTTGAAAAAGCTGGGGGATTCTCACGGCGGCCAAGAAGCCGATCCTTGAAAGAGCCTCCAGGATCCGGGGGCCGAGCGGCAGCGTCATTGTCGCCAGAGAGGCTGTTGAGAGAACTCATTGAACTGTCGTCGACAATTGCAGCATATGAATCACGAGGAACAAGAAAAACAATAGAATCTCATATATCATGTAATCTTGAAATCCGTGGGTAGATTACATGCTTACCATAATTTCCTGGAATTCTTCCCATCTTCACATTTCGGCCTGCGCTCAATCTTCGTTTTAAGCCCAAAGGATTGGATTTTGTTAATCCGAGCCCGGCCCATGGTCCTCAACTCTCGCAGTCATACTTTCTGCCAGTATGCCTTTCCGACGGTTTTCCATCTGTCTTCCACCCCCAGACCCACAGTTACCACAGATCTCTCCCTCTCTCCTCCTCCTCCTCTAGATCCCCGGCCATCACCGCCCGATCTCTGCCCTTCCTGATCCCGCTCCGCCGTCAAACAGAAATGGCCGCTCCGCCTCTCCCGGTCACGAACCCAACGTCACAGCCCGAATCCCAGCCTCCAATCGCCACGCCGGCCTTCCGCAACTTCATCTCCCGCCTCTCCTCTTCCGTCCGCCAGGGCTTCTCCCAGCGCCGCCCATGGACGGAACTCATCGATCGCTCCGCCTTCACCCGCCCTGAATCCCTCACAGAAGCCGCCGCCCGGATCCGCAAGAATCTGTCCTACTTCAAGGTCAATTACATTTCAATGCTCGTCGTCGTCCTCGGCTTCTCCCTCCTGTCCCATCCTTTCTCCCTCCTGGTGCTCCTCTCCCTCCTCGCCTCCTGGATCTTCCTCTACCTCTTCCGTCCTTCCGATCAGCCCGTGGTGATTCTCGGCCGGACCTTCTCGGAGCGGGAGACGCTCGGCGTGTTGCTCTTGTCGACCATCGTCGTGGTGTTCTTGACCAGCGTCGGCTCGCTCTTGATCTCGGCGCTGATGGCTGGAGTCGCTATTGTCTGCGTGCACGGCGCGTTCAGGGTTCCAGAAGATCTGTTCCTTGACGAGCCGCAAGAGCAGGCGAACGTAGGACTCCTTTCCTTCCTCGGCGGCGCCGCCTCCTCCGCAGCTGCCGCCGCCGCTCCCGTTGTCGCCGCTCGTGTGTGAGAAGTGAGAACTGAACTCCCCCGCTCCTATCTTTTCTTCTTCTGTTTTTGTTAATTGAAATCGCATATAGCTTTTGACTGAGTAAGACATACATTATCTCGAAACCTGTTATCGTTGAGACTGCAATTTGTTGATTAGATTTCTTGTAGTAGATCTTATCTGATCTTGGCACGGCAGTACTAAATCCAATCCATTCGTTTTCATTGTACTTTTAATCGTTGCTTATGTGGTGGTAATTCGTAACTGTGCAATACAACTGATCGTCGCTCGATTCCTGGCCATGAATCCTGTTTTGTTCCTCCCTTTCATGTATGCTGCATTGAATTCTTCCATGTGAATCCACGTAGTTATGCATTGTTGATTGATGAACACATCAGTCCAGTACCGAGCTAGGATGCTTGACAGTTCTTTGTTTAGCTACACAAAGATGTGCAAGACATTTTCGATTTGGATTGGGTCTTAGATACTCACAATGGAATGAGTTAGTGACCGTGTCTGTTGAATGTAAGAATGGTTTCTGGAAACTTAGGATGCTATCTACATGCTTTAGGACAGACTCGTTTGATATGATGATTTGGGGTTTAGTTAGCCTTCAATTTATAGCAGGAGCTGCTCGTGGCTTTTTTTTGTGTCGAGTACTGTGATTGACATGATCGTTCTGTGGGTGTAGTCGAGGGGTGTGTGTAACTTGGGTGGAAATGGAACCACTGAAGATCAAAAGCTCTGGTTGAAGCTATGTTTCAGTTGGGACTAGCCTCGGTGGTACTTAGCAATTCTACCTAAATGGGTTCTGAACCGCCCGAACAAGGATTAGATGGCTGATCTGCGTGGGATGCTATGAAAATTAAGTGGATGTGATGCGTTTTTGCTTTCCCGAGTGCATCATAGTTGTTTGATTCTTGATCATATGGCCGAGAATGTCTAAGCATGTATGCCATTATGCTTACCTTTACATCATGGAGCAGGAGAGTCGAATTTTGGTAGGAGAGAGCGAATCCATTTGTAGGTTCAGGCCATTTGTGGTTAGGATATAGTAGATGCTTCGAGTAGATTGATTGATTGATTGCAGTTGGTATCTGTGGTAGGAGGTTGTGCTGCTGATTAGCATCTTCAGTTCTGCATGGAGTTGAAATGGGCGACTATGGCTGCTTGTGTATTTGTGGGGAATGTTTTCAGCTGCATTGTAGTTGATGCAGCTGTGGTATTTCTGCTTAGTTGGTAAAGTAAGAATGATACTCCCGCCATGGAACTAGGGGTGGCAAAAGCGTCGGTGCGCTGTGGTATTGGCACTTTGGCAGGAAGAAAGGAAAGATGAACTGTGAAGCAGTTGTTTTATTGACTGGACGCACACATTTATGGTCCTGCTGCAATTATCTGTCGCATTTGTAGCTGCCATTCTCGGCACAAACACCAGCCTTCATTCCCTATCAGTTATTTATGAAATGTGAGGTGCTATATGCAGACTGCCAGACGTGACTTCTAAATGTCAAGCTATTCGACGACGATGATGTTCTCCCTTAATAGTAACTACATCATAGTTAGACCAGCAAATAATTGAGCAATTCGATATAGATAGAGTATGAATGTCTGGTGACAGGCAACAGATCCACTCACCACTCCATGTTACGCACTAGTAAGTAACATCCACCCGAATCGAGTTGAGAAAATTTTATACAACGCAATTTACCATATTTTTTTTTCGTTGAATAATTTACCAAAATTTCATCCTCATAATGGTGCAAATATGCATTTCATAAAATCGTAAGTTTGGAGTTCGATAGTATCCGTTTCGATTAGAGGTGGCAATTAGGATCCAAATCCATGAATCCAATCCAATCCATCCACCAAATTATCCACCTAATCCAATCCATTTAAATCCAATCCATTTGATCCAAATCCAATTGGATTGGTGGATTCATGGATCAATCCATGGATCCAAATGGCAAATTATGATTTGGTACCTATATTTTTTATATTTTACATTTTGGTACCTAAAATTTATATTTTTATACGAAAAATATCATTGGAAAATTACATTTTGGTACCTAAAATTTTTCATTATGACATTTTAGTATCTAAACTTTTCAAAATTTACATTTTGGTCCAAGCTTTGGATGCCATTTGGATTTATGAATCAATCCACCAATCCATTTGATCCAATCCATGAATCCACCAATCCATTGGATCCAATCCATTTGATCTATGGATCCACCAATCCAATCCACGAATCCACGAATCCGATCCAATTGCCATTTGCCACCTCTAGTTTCGAACCATTCCGCGCAATCATAGAGCCCAACTAGCCACTGGTTCCGAGCCCAACCTTCCCACGAGCCGGCAATAATATTTTCCAGCTCCACCCAACCGCCGCCTGGCAAGCTGCTCGACGGACAGTTCCATAAATCCCATCACGCGCTGCTTACTGGGCACTGGCTGGGCTACTGCTTAATTGCCTCCTAAACATTTTCCCATTCATCTCCAGTTGGCTACTGCTTAGACTAATTAAGTATTAGTTAACCGCATTTTTGTAGCTAATTAAAACCTTAATCTCTCCCTATCTTTGGTTTTGGTGGAGAAAATGAGGAGCGAGGAGAAAGCAGGCGGACATTACAAAGATAGTCCATCGCTCATTCACATAGTTCTGCTAGCCAACTAATTCCCTTCTCCCCCACGCTATAAACTCCGTCCATTCTCCCCCATTTTGAAGCTCCAATTCAAATCCTCTCCCATGGAGTCCTCTGTCTTTCTCCGCTCTTTCCACGGTAACTCCTCTGTCCCTCCCCTTCTCTCCCTCTCAAGCTTTCCGTCACTTCTGTTCTCGCATTTCGTCTTTTTCTTTTGGTGTGCTTATGTTGCTCTAGTTAGCCTGGTTCGAAATTCCAATGCCAGTTCCCGGAGAGATCTGTTGCGTACTTGCGTGTAGACTGTTCTTGAGCTTAATGTTTGATTGCGCTACGCTTCTCTCTTTCAGGTTCGGTGCCTACGGTTTCAAACGCCCAGCCAGCAGCCGAAAGGAGCGGTGCGATTTCTTCTATCCAGAGTGTTGGCTTCAGCAGGAGGCTTGTTTGCTCGCCGGCTAAGAGGAATCTTTCGATAGTATCTTGCGCCAAGACATCTGGTTCCTCTGTAGCTTCCAAGTCTACAGGTGCGTATTTTCCATTTTCTCTCGAGATTGAATTGGTTTTCCCCCTTGATGTGTACCAGTAAGGTAGCTGGGATTGGTTATCTGATCCAGAGAAGCTATCCAATCTGTTTGGACTTAATTTCGAGTCGTTGCCATTACTCAATCTTGTGATTGTACTTCGGTTTGGTGACATAGAAGCTATGCTTGTGCTAGTACTAGTAGTGTATGGGAATGCCGAATGTGACCATTACTGCTATGCCATTTGAGGAGTTTGAATCAATTTTCCGAACCAATGGAGCTGTGGGTGGAAAGTTGTATAACTTAATTTGTGTTTGGCGCTGTGAATTGCGGTTTTGTTCTGGCTGCCGGTGCTGATTACGAGTTTACTTCCAGCAGATGGTGCTATACCAGTTGCTTCAGAGAGTAATGGTGCGCCCCGTGCAACTTTCCCCAGTGGATTTGAGGTGAGTGTTCTCTTTTCTCGGTGCTTTAACTAGTTTTGTTTTCCGAATCCACACTTGATTGTGAATCACTTCATTGTGCTCCTGTGATGTTTTGTTGCTAAGATTACATGTTGCTTCGAGTGATAGTAGTCAAAAGCCGCCCTTGTATTTGAGAGAACTTTGATATTGCATCAACCATGCTTGATAGTACTTAAGAATAGGTTAGATTAGAATACATTGAACCTGCTACTGGGAGGATCTTTAAGTGCCATATTTAGCGAGAAGTTTTTTTTTTAAATAATGTTAGCGAGAAGTTACCATAACATTCGTGACATCTGCCTGTTATGAACCTTAATGATTGGTCTTGCTTCTTGTTCCTTTCATCATCAGGCTCTGATGCTAGAGGTTTGTGATGAAACAGAAGTTGCAGAGCTCAAACTGAAGGTAAACTCATCATCTTGACATGATCATAGAACTACATAAGTTAATCTTTGGCTCCCATGTACTCATCTACCTGTTTCTGATAGGTGGGCGACTTTGAAATGCATCTGAAGCGTAACATAGGAGTTACACATGCCCCATTGTCCAACATTTCACCAACAGTGCCACCACCTATTCCATCTAAACCGATGGACGTAGCAGCTCCTGCTGCTCCACCAGCACCAACTCCGCCACCAAAAAAGTCCAATCCGTTCACAAATGTCTCCTTCGGAAAGTCGCCAAGGTTGGCAGCTCTGGAGGCTTCTGGTGCTAGCGGCTTCGTGTTAGTCGCTTCTCCAACAGTACGTGACTGTGCCGGAGTTGCCTGCTGAGGGTTCTCTATCTTTCATTTCTTTCTTCCTAACACTGAAAAAGCCTTCAATTGAGTGTACATCCATCCTTTACCTTTTCAGGTTGGTACATTCAGGAAGAACCGTACTGTGAAAGGAAAGAAGCAACCTCAGATCTGCAAAGAGGTATCTGGACCTTGAGGATGTTTTGTCCCTGGAATCGCATACTTGTTGTGAACTGACATGTACATTTTTCCAATGCAGGGCGATATGATCAAAGAAGGACAGGTGATTGGATATTTGGATCAGTTTGGCACTGAACTCCCTGTGAAGGTGAGTTTTCTGTGCTTGTGTATTTGTTTTTGGTATCTCTGAATTGAATCCGATTTTTCCTAATTGTGGTGCTTCTTGATGACTGAGCAGACAGATGTGGCTGGGGAAGTTCTAAAGATCCTCTTTGATGATGGAGGTAAAAATTTCTGCTTCCCTGCATTTCTGAGAACTGTCAACTTGATCCCTGCTAATGATCAGTTCCTTTGCATTCATATGCCGTGCTTACAAAATTAAATTTGTACATTAAAGACAGTTAAATTTCCTTACATCACACGATCATACTTGTCTTCTCTTTCTCAATCTTCCGGGGTACATTTTCAAGATGGGTAGCTTGTGTTTTGTCAAGGAAAACAAAAGTCTTTCCATAACTGGTTTATAATCAACTCGTTCCTAGATGAGGTCTTAGTCTTTTGTTAGCAACCTAGGGACATCGAGTGATTCCAGGCTGGGACTTCCAGAAAAGTAACTACCAGTAGATCCCTCAGCAAAATTTCATTGCATAGCTTCTTAGTATTTGAATCCTTGGCTAGGATGCAACTTCTCTCTTTTTGTTGTTTTTCCTAACATCTCTTATTGCACATGATGCAGATTCTGTTGGATACAAGGACCCTCTTATCGCTGTGTTGCCATCATTTCCCGGCATCCAGAAGTAAAACAACCATCCTGCAAGGCTTCAGTAACATCCAGGTTCTATTCTTGGCAGCCTCGAGGATTGACGCTCCTTATGCTTTTCTTTTTGCCGCCGCGGTGCTTTGCCCTTGCAATCTTATGGCTCAGAGAATGGCAGTGTCTTTCTGTTGCTTTGTTTGATTTGTGAAGTAGATCTAGGTAATGAGCAATAAACGATGAAAAAGCAGGCATTTTAGTTTCCAGAACTTACCATATTTTGTACTTCCTTTGTATTTGAGTATGTTTGTTGCTCGAGGATGCACAACTGTATTCTTTTACCTGAGCAAACAATTCAAACGTTCTTGTGAACAGACCTTATCATTAGTCATTGCTGACAATAATATTACTCACAGACTGTATTTCTATATCCAATTCCTGCTGTTTTCTACATGAAAGAGTATTGAGGACACACGGAATTACAGATTATCGGGAGCGAAAACCCGGCCTAAGCTATGGTGAGCTGGACAGTTTCCCTGAACTCCAGCCTCCTGGTCTCACTGTAAAAAGTCCTGTACTTGTTAGGCCAATAAGTGAGCCAAATCCACCCCTTGATCTCAAACTCCATCGTCTTCCCCTTGGCAGCTTTATCCACCTTCCAAGTTATGCTCTTCCCATATTCACTCCCAGCAAACACCACTCCACCTTGCCTTGTAAACGGCCGATAAGCCGTCCTGTACCGGTCCTTGAACCATGCTCTAGGGTTGATCAGCGCCAAGGCTGAAGGCTTGGACGAAACCACCTCTCTCCCGTCCATGTTATCGTGCAGAAACCAGCTGAACACCGCACTGTAAGCGTACACTGAGCCTTCGAACTTCCATGGCTTCAAGCTCATCGACACGGTCTCTCCGGCCGAGAGCTTCAGCCCCAAGCTGTTTGGCGGGTCGAAGGAAGTCTCTATCCCCTTCTCCAGCTCGATTTCTCTGGTCGGGTTGGCTGATGAGCTGCTTACTGACACGCTTATTATGTTCGTCTGCAGGATTGGCGTGATGTGGACTGCGATTCGAGATGGGAAATGCTTCTCTTCTGACCCAACTCCTCGTTCTCCCATCAAGGTTTCGTTGACTAGCCGGTAAATGTCGCACCTAACAGTAATCAGAGCAGAAGATCTGAATACAAACTTGTTCTACATCCAACATCAAGTGAAAATTATTTATTCAACTACTTGCCTTATGTTGTCTGTGTACACAGTCACGTCGACCCACTTCTCTTGCTCGACGACCTCATAATTGAACTGCATGACTCCTTCAAGCTGCTGATACTTCAGGGAGAAGAGGAGCTTCTCATCAGCTGAGGACCCACTGGAGCTCTCCATGTCCATGGCTATAACAGGGCAGTACAGCTGAACTTTCCACAGCCCCAAGGCCGAGAACGAGCAAGAGAACAACGGGGAAGGCGTCCTGAAACTCCTGTGAGCAGCAGCCTGAAGCTCGACGATCCAGTTTGTGATGGCCAGATTAATGGACCTCATCCACTGCTCTTCGAGGTTCGACCCCATCATCCTCATGAGCGATCTCGAGGCTTTTCTCATCTGAGGATCAATGAGCTGGTTCTTCAGGGTGGCCAGGGACTGGGACCTGATCTCGGGAGGCGCCTCGTAGATGCATACCAGGAGGGTTAGTGTGAGAAATGAGAGGTTGAATATGGCCTTAAAGTTTGGGAGACTGTCGAGCTTCGGTATTTTGACAGAGGAGGACCTGCTGCTGCACTTGTAAGGGCCGTAACTGAGGATGTCCTCGATGAAGTTCGTTAAGAGGAAGGAGATCGATTCGCTTCCTAGCAACCTGAGGGGGTCATTGGAGTTTGTGTTGATGGGTTTTGAGGACCAGAGAGATATGGTCAAGGTGAGATCAGTGGATATGGAGAAGAAGACTGTTGTTGGAGAGTGATGGTTCTTCCAGACGGAAAGCTTCAGGGAAGGACTAGAAGTAGTGGAGGTAGAAGAAGAAGAAGAAGAAAGTATGGTGATAGACATTGGATTTTGTTTCCATTGAGAAATTGGAGGAAGTGTCTGAATCCAGGCTAATACATCAGGATAGCTTGAAGAAGCCATTACTGCAATCTGCAGCTCAAAGGTATTAACTTGTTTATGCCTCTCCTTTCTTTTACTTGTTTCCAATGGGATGATCTTCCTGATTTCCAAAGGGGTTGATATAGTGAAGCTGGGGAATAAGAATCCTGTAAAAGGGAAGGAAGAAAGAAATGTCAAAAGGTTTGGAGTAGTCCAGTGGAGATTGGCTGGAATATTTCTGCTTTTCTGTTAAAATGACGAGGATTTGGTGATTTGATAGATGGCAAAAGTGTGCAAGAAATGATGTTCATGATCCTCTGTATCTCTGTAACAATGGAGGGTCTGAGTTCCGGTAAATTTGCATTTTAACTCCGCACAGTTTTTGGGATTCGCTCCGTACGTGTATTGAATTGGAACTTTCAAATTCGCGGCATCTATTCGTGGATCTACATTGACGGTACAACGTCACTTCGTATTGCATGTTGATTCACGGCAAAGATTCAGGGAAAATGAAACTTTAGAGTTTTTTGTTTTTTGTTTTGGATCACTCTGAACGCAAAAGAAGTCAGCCGAATTCAATTCCGCGTAAGATGGTTGATGGTGAATTATCTCATGGAGTTTGCTTGCTCAGATCATACTTTCCCGATATGACAATCCATGCAGGAGCTTTCCTTCTTGCTGTGTTGAAGAAACATGGTCACACACTAGAAACAGTAACCTGAAACAGCTAAGTGTAGGCTCCAAACCAAGGAAAATGGGGCGTGACAGCCCATAAACGTGTTGGGTATGTATTGTTTCCCTAAATGAGAGAAACCGACGATGGAAGAAATGGTAGTGAGCAAAGCTTTCGTTCCAAATTGGCACCAATTAATCCACACACCCAATTTTGGGTCATTCTGTTTGCTTCTTTCACGATTGGAAATGCCCTCCAATTGATGCACTTTATGGAGGGTAGGGTTGTCCAGCTTCATGAGCACTCCAATTATTGCCATTCTTTTCACGTGCGAATTTTTGTTTTTTTTTATTAAGTCGTGGAATGTTTTTTTGTATATTCAACAGTGGAATACAGAAGTACATGGTAGTATGGTACGAGTGTTGGAGCTACGTGTAGTTAAAGAGGGGATACAATTCGCTTTTAATTTTTTTTATATAAAAAATTATGATGTATGTATCCGAGAAAACATTAGAAAGTGATAAACAGAAATTGTTGTTATTTTTCTCTCCTCACTCTAAATTGTAAATTCCTAAATACTATGATTCTTGTAAAGCGCACTACATTTTCAATGCATTTCTACAATGCTTGATGACCGTTTCATGGAATTATAATGAGTACATATCTACGTAACACGTATATAGGTATTTACATATAATAACAAACAACAGTAACTGTATTTGTACGAGCATAAACCGTTGCTCATTGATGGAGACGTACTAGAAAAGGCAAGGTGAGGAAAGGATGGGATTGGATGAGTGGGAATTTGCAACTTGGAGAAAGAAAGCAACAACGTGAATGAAATGCATGCTTTGATTATTCCTCAGTTAGGCAGAGGAATAACAGAACAAGAAATCGAGAGCAGGGAGATGCACCATTAAATTACTAAAACAGTAAACAATGCTTCTCTAATTGGACGCCGGCCGCCGTTGATTGATGATGATGGGCCAAGCTAAAGCCCATGCCCAAACTGATGATCTCAAATGGTGGTTAAACTTACTTCACAGCAAAGCCCAAACCCACAAAACTTGACCCACTCCCACTCCTGTATTGGGCCAGCGGAAGTTCCTAAACCACTCACAATAGCTAGCAACCACCTAATCCATTTGTGGAATGGAATAAGAGGGTATGCCGTACAAGTCAAGGGATAGCTATTTTGCAAGTGTGAATATGGTTCAGTCAATAAGGTATTGTTGTGATTGTGATATCATTGTTGACATCAAATTAGATGGATTAATATTTTTAACTGGAGTTACATTGACATAATACGATAGCCAATTTGATCCCACTACACCGATTGACACGAAATATTCATATTATTCATATTCAATATCACTCTAACGAGTGTAGATAATTTTTACAGTCCAGCCAACATTACGCTCACGTAAATGTTATTGATACACAGAGAAACAAAGAAAAAGAAACGTCGACATTTAAAAAAAAATCAACCTTGCCACGGCGGTTCCTAGTCACAAGTTTTATGGATTGGTACCTACAGGGCCCACTCGCCCACTCGCCGGCCCATATTCGCTTATTTTTTCCAGAATCCAGCTAAACTTGGCATATTCACTACTCAAGCCTCAAGGCCATTATTAAACAGCCATAAAAAAACCAATTTATAATTATTTTATTTCAATGGCCACGAATTAATTTTGTATCCGGTTTCACTCCAACGCCACGCCGTTTTGTCCTTTCTTCCGCTTCCCCTCTCTCTCTCTATTCTAGCGTGAACGTTCACTTCCCCGAGACAGAAAAAAAAAAAAAATGAAGCAGCAAATCCACCAGCACCACTTGTTCACCTCCTCCGCGCCACAACCGCCGGCCCAGCACCTCCGCCATCAACTCCCCGCCGGAGCCTCTCGCCGCCACCGCCATCGCCGAGTGACGCTCTCCGTCCGTTCCGTTGGAGCATCTACAAGTAACTCCGAAGAATGCGGCCAGAGTCAAACCAGCAGTACTGGCGCCGCCGGGACGAAGAGAAGACAAGTTCTGATCGCTCCGCTACTAACTCTCGGGTTCTCCGTCCTCCACTCCGCCGTCTCGAGGGCGGATGAAGCTGTTCTACAATCGCCGCCGGCTACTCCTCCTCCTCTTCCATCTCTGTCTCCGCCTCCGCCACCGCAGGTCCAACCGCCAACGGCCGCGGAGATAGCGAAGAAGGTGGAGGTCGAGGCGATTCCGATAAACTCGAGAATTTACGACGCGACGGTGATTGGAGAGCCTCTGGCTATGGGGAAGGAGAAGAGCGCCAAGGCATTGGATAAACTGACGAGTGCTAGGGTAGTGTACTTAGGTGAGGCGGAGCAAGTGCCGACGCGGGACGACAAGACGTTGGAGCTGGAAATCGTCAAGAGCTTGAGGAGTCGTTGCGTAGAGAGCCAGAGGTCAATTTCGTTGGCAATGGAGGCTTTCCCTTGCGAATTGCAGCCTAAGATCGACGAATTCCTTGACAAAAGGTACACTCGGTACCGATTTCCTCCAGGATTCAATATTGGTTCAACTAGTGGTAGCTTCTGTACTTCGCTTCAGTTTGGAAAATGAGCTGAAAAGGCTAGCTGTTTCGGATTCATTAGCTCCAGCCATTATTGATTGAATGAAATGTATCTATGGAAATGCTTATTAAGCTTGTTCTTGGTGTGCATTTCCGGTCCCAGGATAGATGGAGAAGCTTTCAAGTCTATCCTATCAAATTGGCCACCTGAGCGATGGCAGGAATACGAGCCTCTTTTGAGCTATTGCCGCGAGAATGGGGTTAAGATTGTTGCTTGTGGTGTCCCACCTAAGGTAATGTTTCCTTCTGGTGTATACTTGTTCTTGGCTGCGTAAGGCGTTATTAGTTTCATTCATTGCCCCTTCTGCTACATATGTTAATGGTATGACATTGTGATGTGAACAGATCCTGAGAACCGTCCAAGCTGAAGGCCTCCATGGGCTTTCAAAGGCGGACCGCAAGCTGTATACACCACCAGCAGGTTCTGGGTTCATCTCGGGTTTCACCTACATATCCCGCAGGCTAAATGATTTGAGTTCTGCTGAAAACCTTTCGATTCTTCCCATCGGCCCCAGCTCGTACTTATCTGCACAAGCAAGAGTTGTCGAGGACTACACCATGTCCCGAATAATCTTGCAAGCAGTTAATGATGGTGGGGCTTCTGGACTTCTGGTGGTGGTGACAGGTGCAAGCCATGTTACTTATGGGTCAAGGGGAACCGGAGTGCCTGCTAGAATATCGAAGAAGTTGCAGAAAAGGAATCAAGTTGTCATACTGCTGAATCCCGAGAGGCAGTTCATCCGAAGAGAAGGTGAAGTTCCCGTTGCTGACTTCTTGTGGTATTCTGCTGCAAGACCGTGCACCAGGAATTGCTTTGATCGTGCTGAAATTGCTCGAGTTATGAATGCTGCTGGTAGAAGGAGAGATGCACTACCACAGGTAATGAGAAATGAAATCATATGTATCTGAATCTTGTAGGACCTGCTGTAGTTCATCCAGGTTCTCACTGTTCGTCCTGGTGTTAACAGGATCTTCAAAATGGTCTTGATCTTGGTTTAGTATCACCAGAGGTGCTGCAGAACTTCTTTGATCTGGAACAATATCCTCTTATCAAGGAACTCACTCATCGTTTCCAGGTATGGAAAGTTTCTTAGCTGAAGTTACAACTTAAAATTGCTGGAAATTAGATGTTTATCAAGTAAGCTATTTCTGGTGCAGGGTTTCAGAGAGAGGTTATTGGCAGATCCAAAATTCCTGCATAGGTTAGCCATAGAAGAAGGTATATCGATCACCACTACCCTAATAGCACAGTATGAGAAACGCAAGGAGAATTTCTTCGAAGAGCTCGACTATGTGATTACAGACACTGTCAGGGGATCTGTTGTTGATTTCTTCACTGTGTGGCTTCCTGCACCGACACTTTCTTTCCTTTCATACCCCGATGATTTGAATCCCTCTGAAAATAGTGTGGAGGCTTTAAAAGGCCTGCTGGGTTCCATCCCAGATAATGCATTTCAAAAGAATCTTGCGGGGAAAGACTGGAATCTGAGTCACAGAGTTGCATCTGTGCTTGTTGGTGGTCTTAAGCTTTCTGGTGTAGGATTTGTTTCCAGCATTGCAGCTGTGGCTTCTTCAAATGCTTTATATTCAGTTCGCAAGCTCTTTAATCCAGAGTTGGTGACTGTTCAAGGAGTTCGAAGATCTCCAATACTCAAAACCGCAGTTGTTTATGCAAGCTTTCTGGGCGTATCAGCAAACCTGAGATATCAGGTATATAATGCTCTGCAACATCATTCACCCTATGTGCTCATTATATCAGCTATTTGTTTTTATCTTTTTATGCATCATCTATATTTACCTTGATGAATCACGACACGAACCAGAGTCGTGCTGAATTTGGGCATTCTTACCATTACCGGAGTATTGTCTAATAGAGGTTGCTGATTTTCACAAATTTTGCTGCAGATCATTGCCGGATTAGTTGAGCATAGGATTTCTGATGAATTCGCTTCACAGACAATACTTGTAGCTATGTTGTCTTTTGTTGTTCGGACTATCAACTCCTACTGGGGAACCCAGGTCAGGATTCTTTGACGTCTGACACTGTCATGGTGTCTTGAGTAGATGTGTAGGATGATGAAACATTAACTTTGCCTTTTTTGCTTGAATGCTGCAGCAATGGATCGACCTTGCACGCTTTTCAGGGCTACAAAAAAGAAATGATGAATCAGCAGCTTCTTATCAGACAGTGGATCTTCCTATAAATCCTGTTGTGGGATGCGAAACTACTGACGAAGCGAGTACCGAAGAAATCAAGAACTAATGAGGTGAGAAATGCTTCACTGGAGCATTGTAAAGTATACATCCCAACTCATAATCTTTGATGAAAGATAACAACCACAGTTTTGATACCTCTCTTTCTGTTCTTCCTTCTCTCTGAAATACATGTATCATCAAATTTTGGCGCGAATGTGGATAATTAATGTACACCTAGAAGACTAGAACAGGTTATTTTGAACTTCTTCTAGTCCAGCGGAGTGTACAGCATCCAATGTTATCTTCATGTTGAGCCGCTGTAGAGGGCCACGTTTGTGCTTGTATCAATGTCAACTTCAGACAACCGAAACCGAACCTGTGAAGTGCGATAAGCTCTTAACGGTTTCAGTTTTGGCAATTGGCTAATTTGGGTTTCGGTTTCCAATGGTTTTCAATTTGGTTAACCGAACCAACACCACTGGGTGTATGTAGACATTATTTTTGTATAGGTTGACTTGCGGTACAATCAATTGTGACAAATACAAGGAAATGAGTGGTTAAATATGGAAACACAAGTTGTTCGTACTTGATTGTCACAAGTCACAACATAACTCTTAAGAAACGGAAAGTTACAAATCTCGTATCTACTACGAGAAACAGAACAACCAAATTCACACAATGGAAATAATATTGCAGAAAAAACTACATACAACCAATTCTTTTCTGTCACATCCAATGACTCAAAAACAATCTTTCTCCCAACTCTGCATATCCAGGAAGAAGAACGTATGCTTCCAATACAGATCTTGTAGCCTTTTCTTCACATCATCATCTCCCTCCTCTACGGTGGCCGGATTGCCACAGCCGGCCGGTGATCGAGTCATAGCTATAACGAGATCGAAATGGAGACGACGTCGATAAACGAAGTGCCAATCAATACAACGACAGGGCTGCCATTCAAGAACATCGTCAACCTCACCGGAGCTTGCTACGAGCATGTCACGGTGTACACCCCTGGAATATGGAACAGTGAATATGGAGAATCCATTCTTGAACATGCTTTCTATCGTTTCAGCGTTCAATTGCTTCTCATGTTCTTCCTCTCCCATTCCATGCACTTCTTCCTCAAATACTTGCACATGCCCCGAATCACCTCCGAAATCATGGTAATGTGTAATTGTTCATATGAAAACATCAGGTCTATATGCTTAAATTTCTGTAACCCTAACCCTTATTAGCATCTCGTAAAATTTACCGAAACCCTAGCTACTCCGTCCATGGTAAGAACATTCATGCATTGTTCGCACCAATTTATCGTCGCGAACATATTCATCTCAATAACAATAAATCTTATACTAATTCGTTACACGAATTCGTGTTGGGTGCGTGCAGACAGGCATACTTCTCGGACCATCCGGGTTCGAGAAGTGGTTCCCAAACGAGGCCAAGCTGGTCTTCCCAGCCTCCCCCAACCAAATCCTGGCTGCACTCTCCAAGATCGGCTACGTCCTCTTCGCATTCCTCGCGGGAGTAAAAATGGACCCATCTTTGGTCCAACAATCCGGCAAGAAATCCGTCTTCATGGGGATCCTAATCTTCATCTTCCCCTTCACAATGGTCCACACCATCACCATGAGCTTCCGGCCCGAGTTCCGGCCCTCGAACCAGCTCTCGATCGGGATCTACAAAGGCGTTGGGATCGTGCTCGGCGCCATCACCACGAGCCAGTTCGTGGGCGTGAGCCACCTGCTGAACCAGCTGCGGATCACCAACTCGCAGCTGGGCCACTTGGCGCTGGCCAGCACGCTGGTCAGCGAGCTGCTCCGGTTCGCCTACTCGAGCCTGCTGGGCTACATGGAGGCCATGCTCTTCATAGCCCGGCGGGCCGGGGTCCAGGCCATAATTTTCTCCATGATGCTGGTGGCCTTCATAGTCGTGGTCCTGAGGGGCCTGGTTTTGTGGTCCATTAGGAACACACCGCAGGACCGGCCCATGAAGGAGATCTACATAACGTTTGTGGTGGGCATGATTCTGACGTTGGCCTCGGTCGGGGATACGGTGGGCATGTACTATCTGTTTGGGCCTTTCTTATTGGGCCTGGTGATTCCGGCTGGGTCGCCGCTGGCGACGAGCCTGATAGCGAAAGTGGAGACGCCGGCGGCGGGGATCTTTGCGCCCATCATGGTCGTGTTCTGCTCCACGTCGCTGGACTTGGAGAAATTCTTGAGGAACTATGCCAAGGTGCTGCCGTTTAGGATATCGTTGATTGGGTATTTCTTGAAGCTGGGTTTCACGTTCGTTGTAGCGCTTGGGTTTGAGCTGCCGGTTAGGGATGCTGCGGCTTATACACTCATCGTCAATGTTAAGGGTATTCTTGAAATTGGCGTGCTTCTCAGCTTTGGTAACCTTGGGGTATGTATATATATATTTCCCGTTTTCTCCTCTTTAATATTCTCTTTTCCTTTCTAGTTATGGTTGAGTTAAAATATAAACGAAGAAAATGCGTGATTAATTCGATGGGATTTTTGAAAATGTTGATTTATGTCTGGCATCATCTTTTAATGTTTAGTTTAAAGTAATAATCTAGTTTCAACTCTAAGAAGCTACTATAGTATTTTTGTATTTCTAACTTTTTCTCGTTTAAGTTGAAGACCTCATCATTAAATTCAATAGATATAAAATAGTTTGCAGTATTATGGTTGATAAGTTCATGTGATAATAATCCGTTCTTATGTTTTCATCCATTAGATCAATATAATAGGCATTATATATGTGCAAAAATGTCATCATATTGATCTAACTATCCAACAAAGAATCGAACAATGTCAACATATATGAATTTTCATCCCCTCCGATCTCCTTTCGACTTTCTACCTAAATTCATCTTCTGCTGGTTAAAATTATTATTGTTTTTCCCCTCTTGGTGAGTCAGCTTTCAATACATATGGTTAGGCATATGCATGGGCAAACATATGTAATTTGACCGTTCATCCTCATATTTTTATTCATTAGATCAACATTTAGTCTGTAGGCACGAAGTGAAAAAAATGTCACCACATTGGATCTAACTATCCAACGAATAGTCGAAAAACAATTTCAATATATACGATTTCATAATCTGTAATTCCACATTTTCCTTTTCAGTAACGTTGTCTCATGCAAAATCAAACACATCCCAGGATCAATTAACATATTCCTTTTTTTTTTTTTTTTTGGTTTTTGTTACATGTTGATGATCCTTCTTCCTTCATCAGAGCAGGCAACTAGATAGCACCTCCGCCATTTTCCTGATATTCATCCTCGCAAGCATCGCCCCACCAATCATCAGGCTCCTCTACGACCCTTCCAAGCAGTACATTGGCTACAAGAGAAAGTGCCTCCAATACGCACCGGATAACGCTCCACTCCACATTCTAGCCTGCGCCCACAGGCAAGACGACGCCGTAGCGGTCATCAAATTCCTCGAGTTCTCCAACCCAACAAGGCAAAGCCCACTCACCGTCTACGGGCTCGGCCTGGAGGAGCTCATCAGCAGCTCCACCCCGCTCCTCGTCAACCACCAACTGGGCCAGAAAAAGTCCACAACGAAAGCCCGGCCCAGATCCCACAACATCCTCGACGTGTTCAACTACTTCGAGTCCCAGTTCGGGAACAACAAGCTGGCCACGGTCCACACATTCACCGCCATCTCCTACTTGAAGCAGATGCACGAGGACATCTGCTCCTTGGCCTTCCACAAGGCCGCTTCCCTTATCGTCCTCCCGTTCCACAACAAGTGGAACGGGAGGGGCCACATGGTCTGCGGCAACGAGGACCTGAGGCACCTCAACCTCAACGTTCTGAACAGAGCCCCCTGCTCCGTGGCCATCCTGGTGGACCGCAGGATGGCCATGGGGCTCTCGTCCATGTTCGTGACGTCCGCGGTGTACCGCGTCACGGTCCTGTTCGTCGGTGGGTCCGACGACAGGGAGGCCCTGGCCCTGGCCATGAGGATGGCCGGGAGCCCCAGGGTGCACCTGACCGTGGTGCAGTTCACCGTGGACGTCCAGGACGAGACGGTCGTGGACCGGTGGGAGGCGATGCTCGATGCCGAGGCCCTGAGGGTCGTGAAGCTGGAGATGCCGACGAATTCGAACATAAAGTTGGTGGAGGAGCGCGTCAGGGACGGTTCCGACACCTCGTGTATCGTGAGGGAGATGGGGGGTAACGTTGACCTAGTGGTAGTGGGGAGACGACACGACACGGGGTGTCAAGCCCTGTCGGGGCTAGCGCAGTGGATGGAGGTGCCTGAACTTGGACCGTTGGGGGACGTGTTGGCGTCTCAGGATTTTACGGCGGCTGCATCGGTGCTTGTGATCCAGCAACAAATTATGAAAGCCAGTCATAGTAGCATTTTGAACTAACTTAATGTTGGCACTTTTGGATGATCATAATCAAGAACAAATCAGTTTGTAAACGCGACTTAGTCATGGTATTATCTAAACGTTGTAAGTCCTTGGAGGAATGTTTTGTAAATCGAATAGGTCCAGATTTTGTGTAGTTCACGCAAATTAACTAATGAGACCCTGTTGGAATAGTCCGTATATAAAATTTGTTTAGATAGACTTTCTAGAGCAGTGCTGCAAAAGATATCGAGAATATGAATCTGATCCTGGTGACATAACAAGGAATGAAAGATACCTTGATGCAGTCGGATTCAACCCAATTACACATTTAATATTGGTGTTTAATTGCTACCTTTTTGTATGTTTTCAAACAAACAAAAAAAGCAAAACTGCATTAGAATCGGGTGTTCATTTTCTTTTGGATACTCAATACTATGAGTCCAATTTAGACCAAAACTAAAAACTTGGATTATAGATCTAACCTAGAAATAAAATTATCCAAATATGATTTGAACTATAATAATTAATAAATTGAGTTTAAGCACTACCCAAATACTGGTTATTTTTGTCATCCTAAGTAGGCTCCAAAGCCATTTCCACTGATTTTGCAGAGCGTGGTGACAATTCTAGGTAGGAGTAGAGGTGGCAATTGGAATCCAAATTCATGAATCCAATCCAATCCATCCACCAAATTATCCACTTAATCCAATCCATTTGATCAAAATTCAATTGGATTGGTGGATTCATGAATCAATCCATAGATCCAAATGGCAAATTATGATTTGGTTCCTATATTTTTTATATTTTATATTTTGGTACCTAAAATTTATATTTTTATACGAAAAAATCATTAGAAAATTACATTTTGGTACCTAAAATTTTCCATTATGCCATTTTAGTACCTAAACTTTTCAAATTTTACATTTTGATCCAAGCCTTGGATGTCATTTGGATTCACGGATCAATCCACCAATCCATTTGATCCAATCCATGAATCCACCAATCCATTGAATCCAATCAATTTGACCCATGGATCCACCAATCCAATCCACGAATCCGATCCAATTGCCACCTCTAGGTAGGAGAATTACTTGATGAGAAACTTGAATTTGAATGTATGCATCCGCAAATTGTACAAGAGATATCGATGCTCATGTCATTTACATATAAGTAATTTCCTTAATTATCAGTTATCAGTTATCACACATATCAATTGCCAATACTTTCTTCCCCTCCCCCTCTCTTTTGTATTACACGCAAACTTAACCTAATCAACTTACTTCTCCAATGGAGAAAAAGTAGTTTCAAGAATTCAAGATGAGATTGTGACTGACTTTCATGATCTGCTGTTGCACCACCAACACCGACGCAGCCGTCCCCATATCCCCACCGGCCAGAATATCCCCCACCGGCCCAAGCTCCGGCAACTCGGCCCACTCCGACAGCCCCGACAGCGCCTCCATCTCCTCCTCGTGCCGCCGCCCGACAATCATCAGATCGAAATCCTCCTTCAACGACCGAACCACCTGCGCCGTATCCGACCCGTCCCTCACTTCCTCCTCCAAGAACTTCACGTTGCTCGCATCCGCCATCTCGTGCCTCAAAATCCTCAAACTCTCGTCATCAAACACCTCATCCCAACTCCGCTCACTCCCCGGCCCACGACCACCGAACCCATCCCCCTCCTCCTCGTTCACCGCAAGATGACATGTCCTGAACCTCACCACCGTCAGTTGAACCCTAATATCATAAAATATCAAAAGTTATCGTCAAAACTCAAATAGACGACATGAATTATTGTCAAAACTCAAATCTCATCATTAAATTTAGTTTAATGTCAGTGTTTAGTTTGAATTATGTTTAATTTCTATCGTCTCCAGCTTGCACACGTTGTCTTGTAGTGCGCTAAATAGGAGTGATTATACGGTCCGGTCCAGTTAAATTGGACCAAATTAATCCGGTCCCAGTCCGGTCTTTTCGAGAATATAAGGACCAAAGATTGGATTGGATACAGTCCGGTCTTGACCCGGTTCGGTCCCAATTTTATCTTGATTTTAGGTGTTGGGGGGTCTCTTATCCGGTCTTTATCCGGTTTTTTACCTCAAATCTAAACCCGAATATGAGATTGCATTGTTAGCTGTCCGGTCCCGGTCCGGGTTATACGATCCGATTTTGGGTTAAACCAAACAGTTCGGGACCAAATAGCCAGCCCTAGCGCTAAAGCTTGAGTCTTTAAACCAAAAAGGAATGAATGAAAAATATCACAACTCATATATGTTGTTATACGTACCTAGGGCTCCCAGCCATCCTCCCGCCGATCGCCATCGACTCCCTATCGTCGGCCCCACCAAAGAACAACACCACCACTCTATACGTCGGCGACGAGACGAACATCGACCCGACACCGTGGCTGGTCCGCCGGTCGATCAGGATCCCGACCGAACACGGCGCCCTATCCAGCACCGCGATGTTCAGATTCCTCAGCTCGCCACTCTCGTGAACAAGCTGTCCTTTAGGGTTCCACTTCTTGTGGAACGGGACGATCACAATACAGACGGCCTTGTCGAACGACATCCAGCAGATATCCTCGTACATCAGCTTCTGCGGCGAGATGGCCGTGAACGCGCTGACCACGACGCCGACGCGCCTGAACTCGGTCTTGAAGTAGTTGAACACGTCGACGATCGGCTGTGACGCGGACGACGACGTCAGCGACGACGCCGCGGAGGAGGTGGCGGAGGAGGAGGTGTCGGCGGCCTTCTGCCCGAGCTGGTGGTTGATGATCTGAGGGGTGAAGCTGCCGACAAGGTCTTGGAGGCAGAGGCCGTAGATGGAGAGAGGGCTTGTCCTCGTAGGGTTCCAGAACTCGAGCATCTTGAGGGCCGCCACCGCGTCTTCTTGCTTGTGGGCGCACGTTAGGACGGGGAGCTCGGCGTTGTGGGAGGCGAACTGGATGGATTTCCTCTTGTAGCCGACGTACTGCTTTGATGGGTCGTAGAGCAGCCTGATGAGTGGTTGAAGTGCGGTTGTCAGTACGAAGATTAGGAGCATCGCGCTGTTCGCGTCTGGTTCTCCTGCCTGTTATTAACAAAGGTATAACATCATATATAATTAACATGTGAAACATTCTCCTTTTGACTCAACGAGTTAGCACGGGAGAGCGCGTTGGTTTCTGACATGATACCAGACAGGATTGGTTAGATCGTAAAGGGGGACATGTGCGGGGTTTAAGGATCCCCACACTGCCACCCGCGCGCGATATTATTGTCAAAAATAGTAGGTCGAAAGAACTCGAGTTATTGAAACCATTTGGTTATTTGATATAGTATCAGCGAGGCGGGTTCTATCGAGGGGACATGTGGTCCCCACCACACATGATACCATGTCAAGAATCCGTAGGTTGCAATAACTTAAGTTATTGGAACTAGCTGGTTATTGACACGATATCATCAGAGTCTGGTTCGATTCGGGACCTGTAGAGGATTATGGGTCCACCAACGCGCGCAATACCATGTCAAGAAACCATGATATATTAGAGTTTGGTTCTATCCAGAGACCTCCGCGGGTTATGGGTGGGTCCATAATTGTGTGATACTTACTATGTCCAGAATCATTAGGTCTCATTTAATCACTCGCGCGAGTTATTGAGAGAGAAAGATGAATTATGGATATGATCAGTAAAAACAAATAAATTTACCGCCAAGCCGCTGAAGCTCAAGAAGGAGGCGACTTCGAGGACGCCTTTGGCGTTGACGATGAGCGAAAACGCTGACGCATCCCTCGCGCCCATCCTACACGCCATGCACGTGAGAAAAGTCAACACCAGCTTCACCCCATACCCATAAGCCGACACCTTGAAGTCCATCATCATGTCGAAGTTCTTCCAGAACCCGAACACGTCAAACGTGGAGCTACAGAAAGTCAACAGCAACGGCAAGAGAAGCCCATTGGTCACTGTCTCAAGCTTCGCAATCACCCCGGTCGCCAGCGGCGACCCCGCCGGCACCACCAACCCAAACAGAAAGGGACCAAACAAGTAGTAAACCCCAAAGGCATCACTCGTCGCCGACATGGTCATCAGCACCCCGATAACAAAGTTGATGTGCACCTCGCTCATGGGCTTCCCCGTCGGCGTCCTCTTGATGAGCCACAACACCATGGCCTTGGCGACGACGAAGACCATCAAGGCGAAGAAGAGGCTGGACATGAGCATCTTGGTCCCGAGGGAGGACTCGATGGTGAACACGATCTGGAGGTAGCCGAGGAAGATGGAGTAGGCGAAGCGGAGGAGCTCGCTGATGAGGGTGGACGCCAGGGCGAGGTGGCCAAGCTGCGTGTTGATGAGCTTGAGCTCCATGAGGACGGTGTTGACGCCGACGAACTGCGACGTCGTGATGAGCGCGAGGTATATGTCGGTGTTCTTGAGGAACTGCATCCTGTCCTTGTCGGAGAAGCGGCTCTCCGGGGGGAACTTGATGATGCAGGTGTGGACCATGGTGAAAGGGTAGAGGAAGATGGCGAACCCTAGGGCTAGGGCTTTCTTCCCGGAGATCTTGACCAGGCCCGGGTCCATTCTGACACCGTTGAGGAACGAGAACATGATGAAGCCGACCTTGGCTAGGCCGGCCACGGCTTGGTTTGGCATTGGAGGGAAGAGGAGCGCGGCTGCGGCGGGGAAGAGCGCGTGGAGGACGTTTGGGCCGATGAGGTAACCTGCCTGCGGGTAAAGTACGTGCGTGCGTGCATGCATGCATGCATGAGTAGTGCAATTATGAAAAATAGAAGGATGTGGAGATTAGGGTTTGGAGAGAAAAAAGAAAAAAAAAATGGATGGGTTGAGGTTACGTCGTACCAGCATCTCGGAGGTGATTCGAGGGAGGCGGAGGAGCTTGAGGATGGAATGGAGAGCACGAGGGAGCATGATCATGATGACGAGCTGGAGGTGGAGACGAACCAGGTTGTGCTTGAGGATGCTTTCTCCATATTGCATGTTCCATAGGCCTGGGGAGGAAACTGGGACGTGGTCGAAGCAATCCCCGCTCAGATTCAGGCGGTGTATTGTGATTGCTGAATAATTCGTTGTCATAATTGATAATCTTCGACGTTTCTTCTTGGGGGTTTTCCTTCTTTTCTTTTCTTTTTTTAAGAAAGGAGATTATTTCTTTTGATGTAAGGATTTAGATTGTAGGGATCTGAGAATTCGAGATGGGTGATTGAAAGTGATCAATGCTAGGGATTAGTGTTGCTTTTTGTTTTTATTTTTTCAAGAGATTTGGGTTGAAAGTGGATTATGTTGGAATATACGACGTAGATGTATACATATATATACAGATGAATAGATAAATTGATAATGATAATTTGTTTTAACTAATTGACTTCCGACGAGAGATGATGAACTTCATCTTGTATTCTCTTTCTCTTTACAGTTTGAGCTGCAAGATGTAGAAGCGAAGGAGAAGCTCTAAATATAGAGGTTTTGTTTAGCCTTTGTTAAATACGCTTAGTGAGTTTTTTTGTTTGAATTGAATAACACGCTAGTGGTTTTATGTTACACTGCATCTCCATAATTTATTTATTTTTTCGATGTATTTTTATTGCAAGCGCGCCTAAATAATATTTTTTGTTTTCTTTTGTATTAATTATATTTGTCTAATCTTGTACAGAGTACCGTCGATCATTTCATCCAAATCACTGTGAGATACTGAGATAAAATCATCATAAGCATATATGTAGTTTGTTATTGTGTGGTAAAAAAATGCTTGAGAAGAATATTTCCACCGGTTAGGTGTCAACCAAAATGGAGTCGTTGAATTTGCATAGTAATTGATTCATAATTCTTGTCGAACCTAGACTCAGTCGTAGATTACTTATGAATAGGGCTGCAAATGAGCCGAGCTGCTCGCGAGCGGTTCGGCGTTCGACTCGAGAAAAGCTCGTTCGAAACTCGGCTCGTTGATAAACGAGCCGAGCATGAGCTCACCTTTGTTCAGCTCGTGAAGCTCGCAAGCTAGCTCGACTCGTGGCTTGTTGAGCTAAACTCGTGAGCTGGCTCGTTTAGAGCTCATGATATGTCTTAACATGTGGCTAGAGAGCCAACTCGATTACCAACTTATGGACGAATCAATATATATCTTATAATTTTAATTCATATGGTTGTTAATTTATATATCTCACCATATATAAAGTTTTGCACGTTGAGTATGTGAGCAAATATATCTTATTTTCTACTTTAAAAAGAAATTATGCATCATAGATTGCTTCGATACAATGAAATAACATGATTTGGAGTAGTTAAAATTTATTAACTAAACGATATATGATACCAACAAAGTATAAAGTATAAGATGAGATTAACTAAGAAAATAAATCATATGTATCATGATATACAAAATGAAGTACCAAATATAAGTTAAGATTTTAATAAACAAGCTAGCTCGACCTCGACTCGACTCGGCTCGTTAATAAACAAGCTGAGCTCGTCTCGTTTATTAACGAGCCGAGCTCAAGCTGGAGTAAAACTCGACTCGGCTCAGTTGCAGCCCTACCGTTATGAAGGCTGGGCCTCAGAGTCGGCCTTGGCCCAATTGATCATACAGCTTAAGTAAGGCTTGTTTCTCCTAAAGCACTGGCTCTGATTTTGCTCCACTCGCTTCCAGCTTATTACACGAGCAGCCCATTGAATTTGATTAAGCAATAAGCACACACCGCAGAAACTGACCTGCTCCACGTCAGCTGTAAGGGATTAGAACTAGGGCTGACAAACGGTAATACGGTAACCGGTTTACCGTTTTACCGAACCGGTAACGGTCGGTAAACGGTAAACCGGTTACCGTCGGTATCGGTATTCGGTGGCGACGGTGAGGATCCAATTTACCGGATACGGGGTCGGTATTTACCGTCGGTAAATCGGTAAATACCGAATAAGGAAGGTGGAGCAGAAGTGGGCAAATATGAGAAAAACTAGTGAACCTACTACCACCAATTTGAATTACAAACAGAGGAACAGAAGCAAAAAGAAGAAGCAGGAGTTAGGTCACCCAATTCGTCAATGGACCTTCGCCTTCTTGGCTGGTCGGAAGTTCCTTCCGTCGTTGTATGGCTGGCTGGGAATTCCCTCCGTCGTCGCGAATCAAAGGGTCACCATCGCAGCCCAACTATCAATCGTCCTCCGCCGTCTAGAATCGAGGGTCACCAGCACAGTTATTGTTTACATTGACCTTCCCCGCAGTGAATCGACGATCATCAACCCACTTTTGTTTCTTCCTCTGATCGTAAAAACAAAAGGGAATAGGCCTTCATCTTGCTCTCTGCCGGGTCGGAGAGGGGAGAGAGATCAAAGCTCCTGTTTGTGGATTTTCTGTTCAATTTTGAGATTTGAGAGAGAAAATTATACATGCATAGAGAAAATAGCTGTGGAGATATTCAGAAGAAACAAACAAAAGAACAGAGCTCTTCTGGGTTGGAGACGGAGAGGGGCAGAGCCAGAGTGGGGAGAGAGAGATTAATATGTATATTGGTGGTGGCGTTAGGCAAATAATACGTAGAGAGGAAGTTAGATAAAAAAGAATAAGATAAGTGAAAATGAAATATAAATGATTAATTTTTATTTAGAGATAAATGATTAATTTTTTTCTAAAGTACAGCAGGTAATTCTCCATTCTTTAGAAGGATCCAATCACCAAATTTGTTCCCCCTTGCGGTAATTCGGTAAACCGGTTTGTAACCGGTTTACCGGTAATTCGGTAATCGGTAAACCGGTTACAAACCGGTATCGGTAACGGTAAACAGTTTTGGCCAGTTCGGTATACCGAAACCGGTAAATTCGGTAACCAATTTACCGTTTACCGACCGATTCCCACCCCTAATTAGAACAATGACGATTGACGCGTAGGAGATAAGAAGACAAAAGAAACGTGTCTTCAAAATACAGGCACTCTTCACGACTCCGGTCCCCCACGTGGTCCACTCGTGCTATGGTAAAATAGTAAAAAAAATGGACGAGCCTAACTCTTGAAAAATAAGTTTAAAGTGTAACATGTCAACTATTGTCTAATCAATATAGTTTCTGCTTTTGATGTTTTATTTTTTTAGTGAGTCATCGTATCTTTCAAGAGTTCTTATAATAACTCGGTTATTTCACTTCAAAACGTGAATTGTCAATTATGATTGATATTAGATTGTTTCTTATCATTAATGGATCTCTCGCATCATTTCTTGGTATGCAATTTGTCTGAGACTTACATTACACATCTCCATTTGGGATTCAACATCCTCGTTAAGGCTTTCCTTAGAAGGATGTGGGAGGCTCTGATATCACTAATTATAACATCACAACTATTTTTTCAACAAGATTTTGCTCGCTTTGGGCTTATCCTTGCATAATTTTTCGTTTGGTTGGATCATGGTAACTTCTCAAAAGAAAAATTACTCATCTCTGCATTGCTCTCACAATAACCATGTTCAACTTTAGAGTCATTACGTACAAGTACTCCTCCATTTCACTCTCAGAAGCATCGTGTTAGTTAAATTGTTTGTAGTTTTGAATTCCTCCCATTACGTACAAGTACTCCCCTTAAACTTAATTAAACTCCTACGTAAAAAAAAAAAAAAAAAAAAACTTAATTAAGTTTGAAATGAAGAATCTACTTGAAGCCTAACCATCATGAATAATGGACACTTCGCTAACGTACAAAAAGACAGAGAAGCGTATCCTGTATACAGCAAACAAGGTGCAGCCATTGCCAACAGATTTCTTTTTTGCCCTGCATGATATGATGTCCGCCAATTTCCATCCTAACGCCCATTCCATTCCGTGTCGATACGACACCAATATCCAATATGTATCAGCCAAACTTGTTGCAAAACGACACCAATATCCAATTCCCTAACTTTTCTACTTTCTTGAAACAAGGATGCAGATCATGAGTAGCAGATGACCCGATACATGTACAGAAAGAAAAAAGAAAAAATAGCTCTCTACCGTGTCGCGTACGGTATACCCAACTTCTACCCTTTCTTGCCAACTGTGTTAATGAAAGATTGAATAGTAGTTGTCCCGTTTACATGATCAACAACATTTTCGATCTTTCGCTACAATCAGATGCCTCGATAATAGACTTTTATCTAGTCCAATATCGAAATTATTTTAGAAATGTTTATGGTTCGATAGACAACTTCATTTAATAGATTTCCCCCCATAATTTACTACTAGCATTACCGTGCTCTTTTTCATCGGTTTTTAAAGAAAAATGAGATACACATTGTTAATCATTTCCACGTAACATCATTATTCAATTAGGAAGTTTTTCAGTGCCCAAAACTAATCCGTGAATTATCCTAATTGCTGTCATTTATTAATTATTAGTAATTAAATAATTGCCTTAAAAAAATAATTAATTAATTGTTCGAAATATGACAGTTGCAGATATGTCGGGCAAATGGTAAATACAGTCAAAACCAGGGGGGCTTACAAGCAGCCTGCCCCTATATAAACCGTACAAAAGTTGAACCCATCGCCATTCTTATCGTCAATCAATATTCCCCTTTTTCTCTCTCTCTTTCTCTCTCGCGCAGCAGCAATGGATGTCATGTTTGCTCAACGATCGTCGTCCTCCTTGAATCCGAACGCCCCGCTGTTCGTCCCGATGGCTTACCAGGCGGTGGAGGATTTCTCCGATCAGTGGTGGTCGCTCATCCAATCCTCCACCTGGTTCCGCGACTACTGGCTCCAGGAGCGCTACCAGGATCCCCAATCCGACTTCTTCCTCCCCGAAGACCTCGATTTCTTCGACGACGGCGCCGATTTCCTCAGCGGCAAAGGTACTGGAAGTTCTGGAACTACTACTTCTACCTAGGGATTTGATTTAAGCTCGCTGAGTTGCGATTCGACTCGCTCACTGACTCGGGGGTGTTTTTTTTTTTTTTTTGTTACAGATGTGGAGGAGAAGGAAGAGGAAGTGGCCCGGATGAAATGGGACATGGTGTCGGTGGGATCGACGAAATGGAGGAAGAGCGATCTGGCTCGGTCGCCGAGGTATGCGGAGAAGGCGGCGAAGATTGTGAATGTGAAGGTGAGTCCGAGGACGATTCAGCAGCCGAGGTAGATTATTGGTGGTGAGTCAGGAAGTAGAAGGAGACCGAGTTTGGGGGGTTCTTTTTCCTTTGTGTAGTGTTATTGTAAATAGTGCAGAAGAGTGTTTGCTTTGACGATAGTCAGGATGATCTTCTTCATGAATCGTGATTTCCTTTCTGGGTTCTATTACCCAAGTTTCCGCTTAGCTTGTACCTTGTACCAGTTTCAGTTACCCCCCAAAAGCTAATGTAATGTAGAAAGAAAAAGAAGTACAAAAACAATGAAAGAACAGAACTTTGTTACCGTTTCTACAAATCTCAATCACCATTTCATCTGCTATACTTCATTCATGATCAGTACAAAATCGAGGTGGGGAAATTAGAACGACAAATCATTTTCAGGGCTACAGAGAAGTACTGGGTGATGTTCAGATTAATGGTTCAAGGAAGTTAGAACTGCTGCTGGAGCTGGCCTTCTTGATCGTCCCAGTTGGTGGCGGTCTTGCCAATCTTGTGGATCACTTTGATTACCTGCTCAGTAGTCACATTTCCAGTCACCGTGACCTTGTTCAGCTGTGTATCGACATTGTATGTTTCGATATCTGCATCGAGCAACAATCAAGAGTCAGAATTGCACCGAAAGCTTGCAGCTAAATTCAGAGGAAAAGGCTGGAACTGGTTCACCTTTGATCTTCTTGATGGCCTTGAGGATCTTCTTGATGCATTCGTCACAGTGCAGACCCACTTTCAGCTCCACCACCTTCATTTCAGTTCATCACCAACCAAACCCATCAATGGAAAGAAAAGAACATCAAGACACAGTTGCGGGGAACCAAGAGCAGTGGAAAATGATGATCGAATACACAACTTGCTTACATTAGACATTCCACGAACTTCTTATCAGGAGGCCCCTCGAGCCTGAAATCAGCAGGAAGTAGGAAAAGAAGCAAGGCTTAAGGGAGTAAGTTGTTGATTTGCTGGTCTGGGAAGATGATGAATGGAATTGAAAAGGAAGAAGAAGGAAAGGAAGAGGGGAGAAGAATATAAAGTATAGACACTGGAGAAAAGGTGGCGAGTGGTGAGGCAGGCAAGCTCCGGCCACTTTATTCCATGGAAATAAGGGCCGTTGCTTTTTACCGGCAAAGCTGTGCCTTATTCCCACGGCATTGACAATATAGGCTCTGGACAAAATTACCTGAGAGAGATCCCCTGCAGCTGGTGATATTCGATAGCTACAACCATTTTCTTTAACATTTCCTTCCTTTTCCAATACTGCAATCATTCTGTTCATTTGTACTGTAGCCCAATTCCGGAAGGAACGAATGATTGATCGACTAATGACTAATCTATCGTTTCACAAAATCCAAAGGAGTTCTCGCATCATGATTTTTCCCAAGTTCTTAACTTTTATCTTGCAGAACTACAAATCAGAAAGAACAGTTGTTGATGTAAAACAAACCTGATTTCCAACTAAAACTGATATATTGACAGCAGCTTTGTTTCTTCCTCGGTGGCTACCTAGAAGTGTTCACAGTTTTAACCAGTAGTATCCGTCAGCATGATTCAATTTTGGATAATTTGTTTTATTTGGTAAAATATTGAGGCAACTAACTGATTAGCAGAGAGCTCTCACTTGTTTACTTCAATTATTTTTTTTACGTATGGGAACGAAGTACGATTTCAATCCAACCTGAATAAGATACACACAAATCGTATTACAATTAATCTTTAATCCGTATTACACGTATTGTGGTGGAAATGCAATCCCAACCTGTAAATTCGATCGAAAATAGATCAATGGTAAAACAACTGATTTGCAGGCTGGACTGCTGGAGATTCGATCTTCGGATCCTAATTCCTAACTACATTTTCTTTAATGGAAGTACAAAATGATTATTTTTTGCCTTAGCCCACAATGTGGAGAAATGACTGATGAGTCAAGTTGGATATCTTATCCTAATCATGTATGGCCCTTCATGTGTGATGTCAGCAGCACCAATAATTCAGCCTTGAATGATTTGCCTCTTGGCTCCTACAAATGATAGAAGGGGCAGACAAATTTGAGAAAATATCGGTGGGATTGATTTGAAAGCCATGATTTCAGCTCCATTTGCACGAGACAAGACCTTTTTTATCCTTTTCTTATTCAGTATTTTGTTACATGGCCACCTACTGGGCCTCTCGATGGGCCGGGCCTAAAAAAAAGATGATCCGGCCCATAACAACATTAAGCCCAAACAGGAGCGTCTCGTTGTCGACACTCGACATTCTTTTTAGTACCTGTCCAGCTCATCACGAGACAACCAATATAAAACAGCAGCAGATCCCAATCCGTTCATGGCATTCACCGCGGTTAATGATTTCCACCCAATCGACGGAGCACACGTGTCGCTCCGTTGCCCAATTGGCTGCTTTGCTTCTCTTCCCGGCCAAACCCCATCTCGAAAGTCAAAAATCAAAACCCCATCTCAGAGAAATCATTCCGTTTCCTTCCCTTCTTCCTCCATTGTTGAGCTCCTGCCGCTGCTGCGCTCACTGATTCCTCAGCAGATCACCCCATTGAGAAGTCTCCCGTAGCAGAAGGCTTAACAATTTGTTTGAGGGGAAGGGAATTCTAGGATGGGAAATGCCCTGCGATTTCTCTACCACAATTGCTGCAAACCGACAGCAGCAGGGGACTATGAATATCCCCATGCCGCCTCTGCACCTGCTGCGGGGGTTTCAGCCCTTGCCCACGATTTGTTCCACTTCGAGAACACCTCCCAGGTACAATTTCTTTCTTTTGGATACTCATTTCAGTAAGGATTCAACTTCTGCTGCTACCTGTTGAATCTCTTTTGTTCTTCATCAACCACCCCCTTTGCTCCATGGCTTTTTTTCCCACTCAGGTTCCACAAGGATTGGCTAAGCATGTCGTCTCATCCAAGAAAGCTCAAGCGAATTGGTAAAGAAAAGCTTTGATCTTGTCGTGGTTTGTGAATGCAGAAAGTGGGGCGGATTTGCCATTTTTCTAGAACAGCAATTTCCTGCTGTTCTTTCAATATTGGGTCTCTTCTGTTGTTTTTGGTGTTAAAAGGTACAGAAAGCTAATAGAAGCATGGAGAGAAGCAAACCCGCCACCGAGGACACCTGAAGAAGCTGCTAGGCTTGTGATCCAGACCCTGAAGAAACACCAAAAGGCAGATGTTGAGGTAGTACACACATACAACAATAATGAAATTACTCTTGCCTTTGCTATTAGCTTTTATTTCTTTGCTTTGTCAACTGTCAGTGGTATAAACAAATAAAGATTGGAACTTAAACAGTTCTTGTAGTTGTAGAGAATTATTAGGGAGGTTAGCTAAATGAGAAGTAAAAAAGAATGCAGATTGATTGTTTTGTTATGGCTATTCATTGAAGGGTTTGTTGGCTTTCTATGGCCTGCCACTTCCTCACACTCTCGTTGAAGTCCCCCATGGACATGGTGTCCCGGCATCCTTGCCGGAAGGGGTGAAGTTTGAGCTGCACACACTACCAGTAAGATCACCCAACTGAAAAGGACTCATTTCTACATGATGTTATGAATCATTAACGTGAGATTCTTTGAGGGGGGAAAATACAGGTGGATGGAAAGGCAGTACCAGATGGAGACACCATAACAGTCTATGTAAGCACTACCAATCCCAGGGAATCATCCTGCGTCCCAGGAGATGTTAAAATGGCAGCAGATCAGAGAGCGAAAGCACGAGCAGTGAGGAACTATGATAAGGCTGATGCACTGCACCAGAAGATTATTGATTCTGGATATAGGTAGGGTATCTATCCATATTTCGTTTCGTTTGCTCAATTCTGTTTCTCAAGGCTTAATATGAATGCCTGAATGCTAATAATGCCAGGGTTCTAAACATTCAGAATGAGGAGGTTCTTGCAAGAAAGTACCGAATCCGACTAAGGTAGGAACAGCAATCTGCAATCTTTTGTTAAATGTTATATTCTTCTTGTTCATATCAATGCCTGATGGATTCTGGCAATGGAAAGCACTCCAGGGGAATAGATGCACCGGAGAGTTCAATGCCATACGGGAAAGAGGCGAAAGAGGAGCTGGTTAAGCATGTTCAAGGCAAGTGTTTGAAAGTCCATGTTTATGATGAAGATCGATATGGTCGGTCTGTTGGAGACGTATACTGCAACGGTTTGTTCATGCAGGTACCCACCCCTAACTGACATTGGCCTTGTTTTCATTACCTATGTTCTAAAATGCATCAAACAGTCTGCTAAACTCTTTCCATTATGCTAGGAAATCATGCTCAAGAAAGGTTTAGCATGGCACTATACTGCCTATGACAAACGCTCCGAACTAGCATCTGTAAGTAACAAAAATGGCAGCCATTCTAAAACCTCAATCAGACCTTTGCCTTAACTGTTCTCTAACTTCAAGCAATTTTGTGTATCAACAACTAGTGGGAAAAGCAGGCTCGAGCGAAACGTGTTGGGTTATGGGCTTCAAAGAATCCTCACGAGCCATGGGAATGGAGGAAAAACAAACGTGAAGGAAGATGAAAGTGACTTCTTTCTGCATTCAAACCAGACTGACTACCCATGAATCAAAAGGATTACCAAAGATCAAAGGCACTCGTCTGTAGCAGTTCCGGTTTTATGTATCTATGTATGAACCACCATTTGTAATGTTGATTGTATCTAGCTCATTGTAAGCTAACAACTGATTCTATCCGCTAGGTAAATGTAGCAGTTGCAGCATGGATCAGCACACATTCATGTTAATAAAGATAACAAGTTATCCAAGAACCAAAAGTATCCCACTTAGAAGCGCACAATATGACAATGAGAAATGCCCAAAATCTGATTAAGCTCACCTATCCTGCTCATGCTTTCAGATAATAATGGTCAATGTGCAGCTTCTTATGAATCGGAGTCACTTGCATTGTAACCAGGGTGCTTATCTCCCACTTTCTTAGCAGAAGATCGAGTCTTTGAAGCCCTATCAATCCAAGCTCTCCCCTTCACCAACAATTACAACAATCCAATCAAGACCCAGAAGATGAAACAAAAAATTCAACCTATTGTGGGCATGAAAGAAGAACAAGGAACTCCCCCAAAAGAAGAAGAGGAAGAAAAAGATTGAACCTTTGCGACATCTTTGGGGACACCATAGCCAGCGCAATACATCTGACCCACGAGCACTTGCATCCCTATGTCGCCGGCGTTGGCATCCCTCAGCGTATCCTCGAACCACCGCCTGACGCAATCGGAGACCACCTCCGATAGAGGATGCCTCCGCCCTCCTCCGCCCTCTCCGGCGGCGGGGTCCATGTTTTTCTGCTTGTTTTTCAGTTTGGCCGGGTCGTGGTTCGCCCGGTGGCTCCTTCTCGGGTGGTCCGACGGGTTCTTCTTGCCGCCACCGCCGGTTGAACAGATTATTCTTGTTGACCTAGTGCTGGTGGCGATGGGGGAATAGTAATGTAGATACAACAGCAGCGACTTTGCCATGTAAGAAATTGGATATGAAATGGGATTGCCGCCTTTTCCTGTAATTTATTATTATGAAAAACGGATGATCGATTATTTTTCTCTGTGTTTCTTGGTCGATTCAGAATGAGAGTGAGTGAGAGATGTTATGGCGTTTGGTTTTGGCAAATTTCAGTTTGGTCCTTCTGCCACCTGGCTGAAACGATATGATTGGTCTATGGATGGATGAGATTTGACTTTTGAAGAACAAGGATCTGATGTGGCAATAGCAGGTAGCTGTGTGATAATAATAATAATAATACACAAAAATTACAATTGAGAATTTTGTTGAAACAAACAAAATAGTTTAACCAAATCGATCAAATTAATTTAAATTGAAGTTTAAGTGGTCTGGACAATTCCTTAAAAATGGTTTAACCAAGGTCTAAAATTTGACAAAGACTTTTTTTTCCCCAGAAGATTACTCGTTTTACGGAGATAAGAGAGTTATACTAGAGTCGCATGGCTGATCACAGCCAAGAACGAAAATCGAACCCTACCAAAGTAGCGTACAATGAAAGGGCTAGTCTAGTCACCAAATGTATCGCCCTATTCTCACTACGACAAACCCTGCAGACATAAAAGAAACGAAAACTCCGGCAAAACAATTGAATTTCTTCCAAAATCGCTCCCCTGGCATCCATAATCACTCCACCGCAACCATCAAATTTGAGAAAAACTTATTTATATAATTTCATATATACCGGCCAAATAGCACATTTCATCACTGAATTTACCATTTTGTTTCCATATTTTTTATATGGTGCTTTGTTATTTATGTTAGGAAGATACATGCAATCAAGTTTTTAATTGATCAAACTTTTAAAATAAAATGACTAGAAGAAAATAGGTGCTTACGTTTGTTTATGGAAGCTTATGCGGGGAGTCGTGAAGGCTAAGGGTAAAGGAGGATGTAACAAAATTAAAGTAGAAAAAGCACACAAGTGCTATGGAATAAATGAATAGGCATCCACTTGTTATTTTCCTTCACCTCAAATGAATTAGGAGCTAAATGAGCTCAATTTTTTAAAAATATTTGTTAAGACACCTTCATTGTTACTGTAGAGTATTGTTGACAATTTCTCTAATCGACATCCTATATCTATAAACCAAACAAAGGTTAATGTAGTCTTCAAAGACTATGAACACTTAGACTCAAGTAGGAGTAAAAAGAAGACTATAGTTTTGCTTTTGGGTACATCAAGGTGATTTTATAATATGTTATTTATCTCTATATGATTTCACCTTAGTTATTTTAACTTTATAATTTACACAAGAACTTCTTCATTTATGCATAACGCATAGTGATAGTTAAATTGCTTTATTACTTATCAACCAACAATATGCTTTATGGATGTAGGAATTGACTAAACTTTACTGTTTATATGCTACAAAAGAAGATCGCGTGACCAACATTTACTTTTTCCAAAACAAACAAAAGAGAATCTCTCCTTCAACCCAAAATTTATAAACACCACATAATACATTTGATAGTACCCACGAAATTTGCTTTCCCAAAAGCTAATTTCTATTCAAGTAAATATATATATATTGGGACACAAAAAACAATAAAAAGAAGGGGAAAATAGTAAATATTTCGGGTAATGACTAACTATTAGGCAAAGATTTCCCTCATTATTTTTTGTTAGCTAAATCTATTGAATTACTAATAATTAGTCAAATATCAACTTTTAATTAACAATTTGTTAGTAATATTGATTTGGCAATATGATATTGACTTGGAAGAGACTCATGGAGATTAACATTCCAAAATTTTAGTATTTTAACTAAGAAAAAGTTAAAAAATTATTAACGATAACGCAGAAAATGACTGATATTTTGATATATTACAAAAAATTTGAATAATGATTAGTAATTCAATAGGTTTCACTAATAAAAAAGAATGCAAAATTTTTTCCCCTAATAATTAGTAATGACCCAAAAATTTCCCCAACATTTCAAAAGACCAAACCTAATTAACCTTCAGCAAGAAAATGAAAAACCAATAAAGAAAGAAACATAAAAACCCCCACCAAAGAATTTGGAAATGAAACCCAAACCACCCATTTCATTCTCACACACATAAAAAGCAACAAATACTAATCTAACATTCCAACAACAATAAAAAATCTGAAAATGCATTAAACCCTCCCAATCTCTTCTTGATTCCTTCCTTCCTTTTCCCACCTCCTCTTCCTCATTCTTTATGTTCATGTCTAGGGTTTTTGCTTAAGAGGAAGAGAAAGATATGGAAACTAGGGAATGGGCATATGGGGTGCCACAAGTGAGTGTGGTAGGGGATGGATATTGTTTTCCATATTGCAAAGAGTTGGTGGTGAAGAAGAAGATTAAGGGACTTTCCAATGCCCTATTCGAAGTTTTCGATCCTTGTGGTAATATCATTCTTCATGTTGAAGGCGGTGTCTGGAACTTCCGCATGAAGCGTGTTTTTCGAGATGCTTCCGGCTTCCCTGTCCTTACTTTGTATGGAAAGGTACATTATATTGACTTTCATTTTTTCCTAATAATAAGGAAGATCATTGTGCAATCATGTTAATTTGGCTAAGTATAAATGAACGTTTTGTTGATGAGCAATTGAGATGTTCAAGATTTTTGTTATTTCTGTTTCATTTCTCTTTCCTAATGAGATGGTTATTATTATCTATAATATAATTACTTAACTATCATCCAAAATCTTTCCAATCCCTCCTAAACTAAATTAGAGATATTTGTATGCAATTATGCATACATGTCAATAATAATAAAAAAAACAAAAATGTTGACGAGGAATGAAATTTCAATCTCTTTTGTTGGGTAAAAATGGGAAACACACAAATATAGCAGTCACTAACGTTGTGGCACAAGTGGAGCGCGTACATCAACGAGGAGAGCCCATCACCAGAAGGGACGAACAACAGCAGCATTACCAACAACAATAACAACAATCTTTTGTTCACAGTGAAGCAATCCCACCCTCTCCAAATCAAGAAGGATCTCAATGTTTACCTTGCCGACCACCATACTCTCAGCAACAACAATATAAACAATCCAATGAAGAAAATTGGCGCGCCGGACTTCAACGTCATCGGCTCCTACACCTCCCTCTCCTTCAAAGTCTACAAAGGTCACAGGATTTTGGCCGAAGTCAAACACAACTTCACCTTGGAGAGCTTCTACAAGGGGAAAGAAAGGTACACCATCAAAGTCTATCCCGAGGTTGATTATGCCTTCATCATCGCCCTCCTTGTTATCATTGACGAGAACGATACTCCTTAGACTAACAATATACTTGGTTAGTGAGAATGTAACATTTCCAATATCAGGAGGATTGGATTGACAAGCCCTCATGAAAAATATCGCGTAGAAGATGTCGATAGGCTACATAATTCTGTAAGATGTCATGTAACTTTTTTTGGTGTATAACTTGATTGTGGATATTAGTTGGCGACTGCGCGGCTTCCCTGTTGATTAATTGAGAGAAGGTAATTGTCTGTTGGATGAGTAAACAAGTTTCATCTCGTAAGGTTATGCATTTCAATTTTCAAATACACAATGGCATGAACTTGTTTGCGAGAAGATCCAATGGCTTGGGTCTCAGGCAGGTCGGGTTCCTCGATGGGCTTGTATAGATTTGGTGGCTAACTCTGCAGCCCATGGACTCGCACGCAAGATATCCTACTGGAACCAGAGGACTGATTGGATTGATTGGCCCATAATTCATTTGATTCCCCGGTTGACGGGTGATAGACAGGGTTTTCAGGCCCGTCCCTTGCAAAAGTTTTTTTCGATAAACTCCTTTGCAAAAGTTTAGCAGGATTTTCATCGGGAAATCAACAGTACTATTTTTTTTTATCGAAATTGGATATTGGAGTTACAACTTACATAGTACGCAAGAGATTATATCGTAAAAGTTAGCTACACGTAAGATAGAGTGTTGTAAGAATAAGACGGTCGGATAAGGCGAAAGCAAGACTAGTCTAATAGTATTGTAGGTAATGTCCATCCAAATATTGAGAGACATGAGAATTGGAATGCGTGACCTTTCGATAAAAATTATAGTCATGGAGCAACAAGAATATTATGAGAATTGGTAATTAACTATATATGATAACTATAATTTGCTGCTAATGGAGGTATTCGTATCATATATATTAGCTATATAACCTCCAAGTATACTGCTTAATTCCTAACCGATAAAGATGACAACATGAATATTATGGTTTCAATTTGTTCAAGTGGCCTGGCCGGGGACCGGGCCACCGGATGGAAGATAATATAGGTGTTATTTCTGTAGGTTTTTTTTTTGAAGACAAGTAACGTAACAATAAAGAACACAGTATAAACTAAGAGTATATATAGCAAGGTTGTCAAACCGGTTTAAGTCATTGAGCCGGTCAAGCAAGGGGGTTTGAGGTTTAATGGTCTGATCGGGGTCCGGCCGGTTTGAGCCGTTTTAGACGTTTTCTAAATATATATACAAATAAAGTAGTAATTAAAAATTTAATGAGTGAAATAAAATTTATCTTACATATATCTATTAAAAACTTATTTTCAACAAAATAAATCTACCTAACCTCCATGATCCACCTACCATTTCCCTTTCTTCGTTCCTTTTCCCCTCTTCCGCCTCTCTTCTTCTCCCTGTTTAAGGGTCAGACCGGGGGGTTTTCTGGAGGCCGTTTTGAAGCCCGACTTGGGTCGAACCGGGTCCAACCAGGGGGTTCGATAGGGGTTTAACAACCTTGATATATAGACGACGGATCTCGTTTTGAGGTACCCTCCCTCCCATATATACTAAGCATGTCCACAGTATCATCTTGAAGACAAAACCCTTTTCAGTTTGCTATAAATGATATCATTATTCGGAATGTTCTTTTCTTTATTCCATCCTTTTGCTTCCATATGCTCGGGTCGATGTTGGAAACCAAAGGCTGCCCCTATTATAATTTATAAATAATAAACTAGCTATTTCATGTGCAATCGTCATGTACCTTGGTTAATTGAACTTGCATTATTCTTCAATTAACCTATTAAATCCATCGAAATTGTGCACGCAAATAATGTAGCTTAATGTAACGTACTTGGAGAAAGAAAAATGAGCACGCATGAACTTGCTAGTTGCTACAGTTACCAGTTTAACACCCACAGCGATGCCATCCATCCTACTTGCAATGGTAGATATCGCAATAGTAGTGGTAGTAACGTCGCCCTCGCCCCTCATCAATTTTCTAGTGATGAATTGAAGATGATGAAGCTGCTCCTTGCGCTGTTTTCCCCTTCCCCATGCTACTTTCACAAAGTCGAAAATGACCGCCAACGGGGAAAAAGCGAAAGGGACAAACCCTGTGGGCCGGGCCGGCCCGGCCGAACAATGGTGGGCCGTGGGAGCGATGAATTAATGGCACCATAATTGCACAGGACAACTTCCCACAGTCGAGATACATTGGACGGTCAAAAGTTCAACTCTCCGGTCCACCCCTCACCGCCGGGCGTCGGCTAGCGACGGCAAGCGATAGCGAAGCACCCAAAATCGACAAAACATCACAAATCGATAAAAAAAAAAAAAAAATTAGCCTCTTGTAGGAATCATCGTGAGGTGAGTTCACGGGAAAATCATAGGAGAAAGAAAAGAGAACAATTTTTAATAAAACTAGTCACGGGCCCGGCCATTTGGCCGGATTCATTTGTCAATCACGTAAATAATCATAGCAAATTGTATGTGAGATTAGCGTTTCTTTGGTAGTATGTTAAACATAAAGGTTTATGAAATTACATAACATTCTAATTTCTTGATAGCATAAAAGAATTCAAATTATTATAATACTTCAACTATTCAAAATATGACATCATATTGTTTTTACATTCTAAGTTTCTAACCGAATTACGGAGTATAATTGTTTTATGAAAAATGATAAACAACCATTCAAAAGATAACATCATAATGTTACAAAGTATAATTGTTTACGAAAAAATGAAAGACAATCATATGTCAGGAAAAGTTATGTGAAAAAATTCTTCTATTTACTCATTATAGATATTACTCATCATATTGGTCTCCAATATCACCCGAAGCCTGCTCCTTCTTTTGCATTTGAATAATTTCTTCCTTGTTTTCCTGCTTTTATTATTGCGCACAAAATTTTGAGGTTAAAAGATATTTTCAAATACAAATATTTTTTTCATGGTCTTAGAATTTACCTTGTCCATGTTATGAAAAATATTTACGGTTTGTTCATCCTTGCATTTTAATTGATTTAGCTCATTGAGTGTTTTGGTTGAATTTAGCTATTGAGGTGCTTTCGTGCTTTTTACTGGTGAATTTGGTCCATCGCCATAACTGTTTTCACTCAAATAGAATGATAATTACTCCGTTTTTATTTTGTCCAACTCTAGGAAATCAACCATAGACTTCCAATATTTCTACAATAATTTATCAATCTTCACTAAGCATATATCTTTGATATCACCCGTAGAAAGGTGCAGATTTGGAAAAATTATTTCCTCTCTACGATTGAACAAAATACAATCGCTCAATAATTCTCAATTCTTTTCCCACAAAGATTGCACATCAGAAATTTGGTAGTGAATAATAATTGTGACAAACAGATTCCTTACTTTAATTACAAAAAACCTCATAAGGAAACTTCCTTCAGACACTCCACTCATCATCATCTGCCAATAACTAAAAAGAACAACATACTTTTTGGAAGGAATCATAGACATCATTAATTGTTCTAATTTCTTCATAAGAACGACATCCTCTGACAAAATGCAGCAACATTCGAAGATAAAATCTTTCTTTGCTAGATGGATAACAATAATATAATCTTCCAATACAAACCTTGTTCTACCACCTTTTCAATTTGCAATTCCAAACAAAATATTGAGAGAACTCCACAACGGTATATTTTCGTGCCTCGGAAGAATGAGCATTTATTTCCATACATGCTAATAGCATTGATGTTTCATTCTTTTCAATAGCTTTTTCAATTTTTTCGTTCTCCTTTGTCTCTACTTTATTCTCCCCGGACAAATGCCATGACATACGTAACACAGAAGGTGAATTACAACTAACATCAAACTTAAAAAGTCTCTAGAGTGCCTCACCTGATGTGACATACCGACAATCTATAAATGTTTTAATCTCATCAATACAAACACATGATGCTTAAGATTTTTCCTAGTTTTGGCGTTCTCCATTACCACTTGGTTTCGGTGCTAAAGTTGTCATTGCACTATCTTCATATTTGTTGATATATTTGAACAAATACTTAATAGCTCTAAACAAAAAATAAATTGATTACACTACTTCAAACATTCACATAAAGTTATAATAAAATAACAAAATTTTACTGAAATAATAAAGTAATAAATTTTTTATTTAAATGTAAAGGTAATTCTAGTTATGTAATATGTTTATGTTTTGATGTTATATAATAAGAATTTTTATATAAATTTAATTAAAGAGAGATTTAAATTTTAAACAATATAAAGTTATAATACAATTCTTTCAAAAGTGGAAATATATATTATTATTTTTTTGGATATGTCCAAAAAGCTCATTCTCTATTTTTACCGTATGAAATTTATTTGATAATTTATTATTATTATTATTATGAATAATACTTAATTTGAAAAGGAAAAAGATTCCTTCCTATAATCATTCAATTTAATCTGATGGGAGAGCCCAATAATTTATATAGCATATTAGATTATTCTAGTGGGGATATATTTACTGCAACAATAGGTATCTATTACATGGAAGGACAAATCGACTATCTAGTGAGACTCCATTCACCATACGATTTGTTGTTCTCTCGGCATCGGTACCTTGCAAAACCATTGCCATCAATAGTTGTTTGGCTGCAGAATCCCTTTGGAAAATGTTTAGAGCATACACCAATAGTTGTACGTACATGAAACTTCAGGTACTTGTATGTCATATGGATCATGAAACATAAATTTTGTAACTGCTCCATAACATTCAGAATCTGCTATAGGATATGAGATTTCAACATATATAACTAAACATACTTTTGAAGGACTATTTAATTTGTCTTCTGTCGCAAGGAAAACTAAACAATGAGCATGAGGCCGACTACAATTTTGAATTGCAATGGTATTACATCTGTAATGAAAAAATTATCATTATAAATAAAATTGTAAAATAATAGTTAGCGAACAAATAAAGAACTTTGGATGCTAAAGTAAAACTACTAATATAACTTACATGCACATGTTTTCCCAAAAATTGTTTAGTTGTTTTTAATTCAATCCAAATGCTCAACCTCAACCAATGCATATGCATTAAGAACGTATTGTTGGAACAACTTTCCACAAAATAGCAATGTGTTAGATTCTTCCAGTTTAGTTTTGAGTCAATAGTTGTAAAAATTATATTGGGTCACATTCTTCTTATTGTATCCACCCGCATCCTCATCCTCGCCCTCAGAGTATGGAATATTTGCGTGCCAACCATCCTGCCATGTGGAAATAA